CTGATTTGAGGTGGTGTCTTTTTCGTTTTGCATTCGACCGGGTTCCGGGAGAAGTTTGTCTCGTTATAAATTACAGGAGAGAGTGAAGTCCGCAGGGTTGCAGCTGACTCGGATTCCACAGCTCCTGTGACCTTTGCACCCCTGCCCCCCACGTCTGTGTAGCGCTGAAATTCACAGGCGTTCCCATTCACACTGGGGGAAAAAAAAACCACACTCAGACTGAATGGCTGCCCATAGCAACCTAGACAGCTGATCCATGCAGGCCGATTAAGTGGTTGCTTTGGGTCTGCAAAATATTTACGGCAGCCCCTCCATTTATATGGTCCTGCATCAGTGTTCTCTCTAATTTTCTCCACCCGTGTGCGGAATAAGTTTTGTTCTGTGCACCGAGGCATGTGCAGATGTGCACCACGAGTAGAAACACGGGCTGCCGGCTGCGAGTGGTCTGCTAATCAGCGGGGCAGCATTTAAATTTATCCTGGTGGCCGCCCAAGTGCTGAGCTTACCCCCTCCATTTATATGGTCCTGCATCAGTGTTCTCTCTAATTTTCTCCACCCGTGTGCGGAATAAGTTTTGTTCTGTGCACCGAGGCATGTGCAGATGTGCACCACGAGTAGAAACACGGGCTGCCGGCTGCGAGTGGTCTGCTAATCAGCGGGGCAGCATTTAAATTTATCCTGGTGGCCGCCCAAGTGCTGAGCTTACAGGAAACACTGGTCAGCATTAAGGTGGGGGGAGAGGAAAGGGAGGAAAATGAATAGACTGCATCCCTGAGAAGATGGACTGTGGTCTAGAGTAGCGTTTCTTAAACTTTTTAAGACCGAGGAACACCAAACAATAATTATTTGTTCTTGAGGAACACCAAGGATTTTTTGTTGAGAGAAAAAAAAAAAAAAAACCTGGTCGCCTGCCCGTTTAAGGGCAGCTATTTTGAACTCTGTTGACTAGCACTGTGGCCTGTGGTCATCTGTCTGTCTGAGGTGCTAACATGGCCCTTGTTGCTGTAGCATTTTGTGTTTTCCTCCCCACGCCCCAATTAGGCCAGGAAGGGCTGTTCTCCAGCAAACAGAGGCAGGGCTGAGGACAGACTTTGACAGGCCTGGGGAAGGGGGCGGGGCTGGGTGCTTGGAAGGGGCGGGGCTGGGGCCTAGCCTTCCCCAGCCAGCCCTTCAGTGCACACAGCGTCTGGGGCTGTGGTGGCGATTTAAGGCCCCGGAGCTTCTGGCTGTGGCAGAAGCCCGGGGCCCATTTAAAGTGCCGGGCCCTGGGGCAGCTCCCTGTACGGAGGGAAACTGAGGCACAGAGCGGGTTCCCAAGGTCACCCCGGAAGTCTGGGGAGGAGCTGGGCCTTCAATCCAGGCCACACGGTCCGCGGCAAAGGAGGGGATTTTGAGCCTGGGTCTTCCAAAGCCCAGCCTAGCCCTCTAGTCAGAGGGCCACCCGTTCGCCCACGAAGCACACAACCATGGAAGAACTGGCAAGCAACTCGATACATTCAGAGCCGCCCCCGGAGGAGCTGATGGGTTTATTACTTGAAAGAGACGGTAAATGGAGGCACAGAGGTGAGCGAACTGCGCAAGATCTCAAGGAGCTAAGACTTCCAGAGAGGGCAGAGCGCCCACGGACAGGAGCTACTCTCCTCTTGGCCTGATGGAGGAATCCGCCGGTTAACTAGCAAATAAGCAAAGGTTTTCCCCTGGGAAGTGCTGGACCTTGGTGCCAATGAACTCCAGAGAGATTGGAGGGATCTCAGGGCCTTCCGGATTTGGGGCCTTGCGTTTTAATAGCAGACTATCGAAGCCCGGGGACTTTGAACGTCCCATTCTTTTATTTGGCAAACGCCAACATTAGGGGAGAAGAAACAATGATGGTCTCCTAGCTTGTCCCGCTGCGGAAGTACGGCCCAAAGAATCCCACCTCCCGGTCCCTGAATCATGCCTAAAGATAGCTCAGTGCTTTGAGCATCGGCCTGCCTAAATCCAGGGTTGCGAGTTCAATCCTCAATGGGGACATTTAGGGATCTGGGGCAAACCTGCCGGGGGTGGTACTCACTCTGCTATGCAGGCAGGGGACTGGACTTAATGACCTCTCAAGGTCCCTTCCAGCTCTATGAGATGATGTATCTCCATGTATATGAATCTTTTCCAGTAGCCTATTTCCAATAACTCTAAATAAATCACTCTTCAAAGAAAGGCGTGCAGACAAGGTCTTGGGGTATGTCTAGACTACATGGCTGTCGCCAGAGCCATGTAGATTAGTTTACTAGACATACCCAAATGAAACGGTGATTTAAATAGTTGACGCTTCATTTTCATTAAAATGGCTGCCGCGCTGTGCTGATCAGCTGTTTGGCGGCACAGCGCTGTAGTCTGGATGCGCCGCGGTCGACATCAAAGGCATTTGTTGACCTCCTCGTTATGCCTCGTGGGATGAGGTTTACCGGGGAGGTCAACAAATGCCTTTGATGTCGATCGCGGAGCATCCAGACTTCAGCGCTGTGCCGCCAAACAGCTGATCAGCACAGCGCGGCAGCCATTTAAATTTAAATGAAGCGGTGATTATTTAAATCGCCATTTCATTTGGGTATGTCTAGTAAACTAATCTACATGGCTCTGGCAACAGAGCCATGTAGTCTAGACATACCCTTGGTGTATAGTTTAGTGAGAGGAGAAATTGCTAAGGGACATTGGTTAAAGTCTGATTTTGCTCTCCCTACCTTTAGAAAACTTTCTGTGCATAAGGGAACTTTGTAGTAATTTCTTTCCTGACTCCCCATATAGAGATAGTGTCTAGCCAGAAGATGAATACACGCTGGCTTGTATATCACACCTGGACTACTTGAAACCAAGGAAAATGGCAGCAAAGAGAGCAAGAAGGCCCATTAGTTTAAGCAAATTGAGACAGAAGTTTGGCGGCTCTTCTACCACTCGGGTTTTCATGGGCTTTATTGTCCGGTCCCATTGGGTCAGGATGGCGTTCCTGGCTCCGTCCCACTTCCCCGGCCCCGTCAGTCGGTACTGGTAGGCTGTGCATGGGCCAAAGAAAATTTTCATGGCCAGGACTGGATCCGTGAAGAGCAGGGCCAGCACATTAGGTTTGGAGCCGATAAAGGAGGCGAGTTCGTCAATATACACGAGGCAATCGGTTTTCAGGACCTCATCGTAGGACAGACCGAACCTTAATGCAGCAGAAAAGAAGTGGGGAGGGATGTGATTCTGATCAATCGGTAAAACAGAAGAGATGCTACTGAAATTCAATCCCGTTTTTCCCCGTTGGATCATCAGGGGGTTTCTTTGACTCGATATCCCAAACGCCCCGGGTAATTACAGAGCTCGCAGCTAAAAGATGGACTTCAAATGCTCTAGACAGAAAGGGGAATGGAATTCACAGTTGGATTTTGGTCACCGCCAAACAGAGATAGGGAACCGCTGCCAAATTTGGAACCTCCCACAGTTCAGGGGAGTTTAAATCCGGCTCAAGGTATTTCACACGAGGGGACCCGGCTTACCAGCGAACTTTATTTTTCTTTGTCTCGTTGATCTCTTCCACCATGGCGCTCACCGGCGGCAGCTGACTCAAGCCTAGCAACCAGAAGAGGGATTGTCGTCAGGAAGTGGTGGGCTTGTTTAACACCAGGTGGGATGTTAAACCAATTCAGTGACCCGGGTGAAAAGGCTAGCGTGGACCCTCTTATTCCAGCTTATACCAGGCTTATTTCAACAGAGCTTACTTCGGTTAGTTGCAGATTGACATGAGGCCGAAACAAGCCCCTGAAAAGGGTGTTTGGGCCGATTGAGCGAAACTGGTGCCACTTTGTGTGTAGACAAGGCCCGAGCTGTTTCGCTTTTGTTCTCAGCAATTGGAAACTCTAGTTCCTGCTCCCTGCAGCAGAGGGAGCTCAGGGCTTGACCACTGACAAGTGGCCTAATTGTTCATCTGAATCATACCTGTTCTTACCCCTTCTCTAGGACTGGGACACAAAGGGGTGTGGCTAAGAGGGGCTCTCTCGCCTTCTGGAGCAAATTCCAATTTGATACGAGGCCACCTTCCCCCACTGCGGGTGAGTTGCCATTAGAACAATCCAACGGGAAGGGGTGGGAGC